ATTTAAGTTAAAGAGCAGAATTCACAGTAAGTGATAACTCCTCCAGAGTATTTTATTGGCTCAGAGTTTTCTAAGGCTTGTTGAAGAATGTTCCATACCTGCAAATGACATTAGGAAGCTCTGTGTGGTATGTCTGTATCTTCACTAGTTTAGATGTCAAGATTTATTTAATACATAAACTGTGGGAAAAATTGTCTCAAACTAACCACCAAATATGTACCTATAAGATTTATTTATGAGTTTATTAAAAGCCATGACATTGAGGCTGAAAAGGAAGCTAGGAAATCTGGAGAAATGAAAACTGTACTGCAGCTTATAAAAACATTGAGCAATCCATGCAAGTTTAGACATTATTTTATTGTTGATATATGGACTTCATTTAGAACTCTCAAGAAAATAAGGGGACAAGTAAATTGTAAGAAAAAAATAATAATAATGATCTCATGTGTGTTGTTTTTCTGATGCAGTGCAGTACAGTATGTAAAACATAAACATGTATTTCCATTATGTAAGTAGCTGGAAGGAAATCAAACATTTTCTATAATTTTTCGAATTGTTATGCTTAAACAGTCTGTGTCACAACCTACAGAAAATGATCCATTTCATATTCAATTGTAAACCATACAGCAAGCTTTGAAAAGAATGGAAAAAAAATGGCAAGTACAAAGTACTAGGCTTTTTGCAAGCTTTTAGTGCAAGTCACATTAAAAAGGGATATGCTCGTGGATTATCCTTATGAGGTTTGCATATTACTGTGTAAATGTGTTTTTGTGGCAAAATATGTATGAGATATGAAATAAACATTGCGCTTCTGAGCTCTATGTTGATCTTCCTTGTAACATAAAACACAATTTATACTTCTTGTAGAATTGAATAAAGATAATGAACTGAAAATGGGGTTAGTTTTTTTAGCTATCAATCTTTACTGCTGTAATAAAATCAATATAGCCCATCAATATAGCCCATAACATGCTTTTTAAGTAACTTCTGTGTGATTCTAAAAAAACTCATAGGCAGCAGATATACTTTATCAAAGATTTATACTTTTTAAATTGAACTCTTCTATCTCTTGTACAAGAATTTTGAATTTTTTAAAAAAATTAGAGCAGAGATCAGAGCTTTTAATTGAGAAATTTAATAGTTACAGAGAATAGTATGAACAGGTATAATAAAAATAGTGAAACATTTTCCACAGTGCAAGGATTTATTTGAGCATCATAGTATCACCAAGGATGATGCAATATCTGCTCTGCCAAGGTGTTAATTTAGCTGGGTTGTCTGGGTCTTGGGTAGCTGATGAATTGAATTGAAATGTGGGTTAGACCAGGGGTCTCCAACCTTGGCAACTTTAAGCCTGGCGGACTTCAACTCCCAGAATTTCCCAGCCAGCATTTGGGAATTCTGAGAGTTGAAGTCCGCCAGGCTTAATGTTGCCTAGGCTGGAGACTCCTGGATTAGACAATATCACCATCTGGTGAATTTGGAACTGGCTGACTCAATATATGAATATATATTGAGCTACATGGAGCAAAGCCTTCAGTGGGGTCCACCAAGATTGTATCTTAGGTCCAGTAATCTTCACTATCTTCATAAATGATTTAGATGAGAGAATAGTAGAGGAACTCATCAAATTTGCTGATTGCCCCAAGCTGAGGAGAATAGCTAACATTTTAGAAGACAGGCTCAAGCTTCAGAATGATGACAGACTTGAACATTGGGCCCTGTCCAATGAAATGTAATTCAGTGGTGAAAAAAGCAAGGTTTTACACTTAGGCAAGAAAAACCAAACACAAAGGTGTAGAAAAGGTGGTACCTTGCTCAATAGCAGTAACTGTGAGAAGGATGTAGGAGTCCTAGTGGATAATCACTTAAACATGAGCAGCAGTGTGCTGCAGCTGCCAAAAAGACAATGCAATCTGGGCTGCATGAACAGAGGGATAGTATCAAGATCATGTGAAATGTCAGTATTGCTTTATACTGCACTACCACACTTGACTACTGAATCCAATTTTGGTCACAACATTCAAAAAAGATGTTAAGACTTTAGAAAAAGTGCAGAGAAAAGCAACAAAGATGATTAGGGGACTGGAGGGGAAAAGATATGAAAAATGGTTTCTGGAACTGGAGAGATCTAATCTAACGAAGAGAAGGACTAGGAGTAACATGAGAGCAGCCTTCCAATATTGAAGGGGATGCCACAAAGAAGAGGGGCTCAGCATATTCTCCAAAATACCTTAAGAAAGGACAAGAAGCGATTGATGGATATATCAAAGAGAGATCCAACATAGAACTAAGGAGAAATTTCCTGTCAATGAGAACAATTAATAGGTGAAATGATTTGCCTTCCAAAGTTGTGATTGCTCAATCACTGGATGGTAGAGAATGGTCCTCCCAGAAGATGGGTTCATTACTACAATATTATAGCCCTTGCCCTTCTGTTCCAAACTGACAAAGCTGATAATGAAGTATGCAAAGTATTAGCTAATTGATCTGCAAGGGGTAGTCTTTGAGGCCCATCTGCATAGTCTGTGATAGACCCCTGCTTCTATGGTGCTTAGTGCCTGTTCTTGTGCTGCTATGAACAATGCCTCAGTGCTGCCCTTTCCAGCCACTGGTAGGACACACAAATAAACACACCTGTTGAATAGCATAGCAGTCTTTCTTCATAGATGCTTGGAGTTATCAAAGGAAGATAAATAGGCATCTTGGAAATTATCCTAGTATTTTCCAAAAGTACAATGGAACTCCCACTGTAATATATCAAAAATGAACTTGGATCTTTATCAATCCAATCTGAGGTTTAGAAAATGGCTCTTAGCTCCTTCCCAAAGCACCATCCTCTTTTTCAATTTACTTTTCTCAGAGACCCAAAATGGTACACACTACCATATGTAAAGAAAGGAGCAGCTTGACTCTTCCTCTCATCTCCTTGCCCAGGGCAGAACATCAGAGAGGAACAGGAAAGGACATGCTCCCCTACTGTCCAGTTTCTTTATGCTTCTACTGCTTCTGTAACCTTCAGGGGCTGATGAATATAATGACGGTGGAGAGGCTCTGCTGGAGCAGTTTTCTCTGACTATTGAGGACATGTGGTAATGATGGAGTGTTTTTGAGGGCAGAGAAAGGGAACAGGGAATGCTCTATCATAAATTTTTAATCTAAGCAGAGAAATAATTGGCATTTTAAAACCTTACATTTCATTTAGGGCAGGGTTCACTAGCTCCTACATTCTCCTTCAACATAATTTTCTACATAATTTTACAGGTAGTCTTTGACTTACAACCATAATTGGGATCAGAATTTCAATTGTTAAGTGATGCAGTTGTTAAATGAGTCATTGTGCGACAGGTCCAATTTTATTACCATTTTTACCATGGCTGTCAAGTGAATCCCATGATTGTGGAATCCAGCTTCCAGAATTGACTTTACTTGTTGGAAGTCAACAAATTGCAATCATGTGACTGTAAGATGCTGCAACTGTCATAAATGTGAGCTGATTGCCATGTGTCTGAATTGTGATCATGTGTCTGGAGAGGGCATGTGATGGTTGTAACTTTGAAGATGGGTCATAAGTCACTTTTTCCGAGGCTGTTGTAACTTTAAGCCATCATTAGACAAACAGCCATAAGTCAAGGACTACTTGCACTAGTTATTTCTACAATTGCTGAATCATTTGAGTCTCTTCCTTCAAAAATAATAATAATAACAGCTTTAATATAATGGCAAGATAAATTGCCATTATCTTAAATAAAGGCAACGTAAAAAAGGACTCATTTCATTTTTTTCAGATTTAATTTCAGGATAGTTTAATGTAGTCCAGTATTAACTTGTGTTACTATAAATTATAACCTTGCCATGTCATTTTAGGTCAAGGGTCTTCAAACTTGGCAAGTTTAAGACTTGTGGACTTCAACTCCCAGAATTCCTGAGCTAACATGACTGGAGGAGGAATTCTGGGAGCTGAAGTCCACAAAGCTGTCAAGTTTGAAGACCCCTGTTTTAGGTTTTGGTGATATATTTGTCCTTGTGAATATTTATCTATATATAAAACTATCTTTTGAAACATGTCCAAATGCTTGAATATTTGCTGAATAATAATGTCTTGTGAAAAACATTTTAATTATTTCAATTACTTTGAGGTTCACATACTCTTTACACTTTTTGTTTCCAGTTAAATTACAGAATTGCTAAGCCATGCTGCCACTTGATGCCATGTATTATGACTGATTCCAATAAGAACTTGAACCTTTTCTATATATATGTGATTCTATATATACATGATTTAATGTATATGCATAGGTATATATATAAAATGTGTAACCTTTAGAATGTAAATCTATACGGGAGGCTCTGAATGTCAAATGAAAACATACCTAAAGTATTATAAGCAATATTAGTAAACATAATATTGTTCTGCAATTTTATATCAGTGTACAATATAGTAAGATATAAATTTTAAGTTACTTAATATTGTTTTAACTGTAGAGGGAAACTGACCTAACTCGATGTGGAAATTTTCTTTATTTTTTCCTTCAATAATAAATTAATTAGGCAATAAAATAAATTATGAATAATATATTTGTGATTAATAATATGACTGATTCAGTGAAGACAGGTGTTATTATTTCACACACAATAAAAGTATTAATTGTAGGGACTCCCGATAAATCATTATTCTGTCTTTAGTTTGTCAAGTACTATCACTATTGGTTGGTTTAATTTACCACAATATGTCCATTTCATAGATTGTTGTGAGCTAACCTTGATTCTCTCAAAAATATTGGGAAAATGAAAGATATACCACTATTATATGAAATTACATGATATATATTTGTAACATTATATTTTTGCACTACATGCATAACATTCTGGTTATAGTGCAAGTGAAAAAAATAAGCAAAGTAACACTGAACATTCTGTACAAGTAGAAATTGGCATACTTATTTGAATACAATGTTCATCACATGGCACTAAGCACCTGTAATTTCATGTTTTTGTAGATGATTCAGCTGCAGAGAGTTTTAATGGCAATGAGACTGCAGGACGCAGTTCCAACACTTCAGGTGGAACACACTGCAGAGAAGTCGCAGAAGCCAATAGTAATGGTAAAACAACTCTGGAGTTAGATGAACAGCCTCTGAACCTGAGTGACAGCCCCTTTTCTGCTCAGCTTAGTTCAGAATACAGGTTAGATGACCCAAACAATGACGGAAAGAACAAGTACAAGAATATCCTAGCATCTGATCTTAAGTTGGAGCAAGAGGCAAAAGAAAATGGAAGCAAGGTAAGTTGCTTCCATGTTCATAAGATATTTCTAGAGCAGAGTCTGTTGAAATGTGTCTTAAAATTTTAATATGCAAATTTTAATGGTTTAAGTTTGGTCATTAACAAGTTGTCTTTGTGGGCTTCATCATCCCTAGATATATAGTTGCTGATATTCTTAAAGGTTTCTAATAGATAAATGCTAATTTTGCAGAAATGTAATACGACTGACAATTTTATCTTAAGTAATGTTTTCTACAGTAATTCAATGTATACAATTTATTGAATTCCTTTTTATGCATTGGCCATTTCCAGAATCTCTGGCAAAATCGGCCAATCTGAAACATGTAAAATACTTCTTTTTGAAACATGTCCAGATGTTTTAATCCACTTTAGTTTTGAGATTTCTCCTTGAACTTTCTTATTTAATTACTGATATTTTATACTTCCATTGTGTTAAAATTTTAAATTGTACATTATTCTGAAATGCAACAGTATGAAAGATTATTTTAATGAAAACAAATATAAAAGAAAATATGAACTTGTTATTATTAATAATAATGATAACAACTGTGGCAAAAGAAAGCGAGGATAGTATCAATAGCAATAGGTGCCCTGGATCCAATCTCAAAACAACTGCAGCACCCCTTGAACGCCATTGGCATTGACAAAATCATCACTAGACAATTGCAAAAGGCAGCTTTATTTGGACCAGCTTACATCCTGCAGCAATCCCTTTAACATTATCACATGACAATATCTGCCCAATCCAGGCCCTTGGGAAGGACACAATAGATAGATAAAAATGCCAAATCCGGTCTAAATATCTGGCTAACTATGCAACCAACCTTAATAATGCAAATGGAACCAAAAATCTGTCTAAAGAAATAAATGAACAAGAAACCAATGTTTTGTAAGAGGACATACTTAATTCTCTTGCCTTCTCTTTCCCCCACAACAACCCTGTGAGGTGAATTGGGCTGAGAGAGTATGATTGACTCAAAATCACCCAACTGGCTTTCAAAGTAAGCCTAGAACTCTCAATCTCATGTTTTCCTAGGCCAATATTTATTTTATTCTGCTAAACTGAATAGCTCACGCAAGAAAGTTACCCAGGAACATCACCTTCAGGGATATGTGTATATTGTCTCTAACTTTTAATAGAGAAAGTAATGAAGATCCAGTCATTATAGTGCAGTCACAGCTCTTTTTATTTCTTCTCTTAAGATAGCTATGGCCAACATTTCTATAGAACTCTCTACATATGAACATATCCCAAGTCTACAAAATCAATCTCTAGCGCAGAACCCCCCACCACCACAACCCTCCCCCAACCCTAATGTCTCTCAGGACAAATGGGTCATTTGGGTCTGGAATGGCCTTTCAAGGGAACTTAATACTGTATTTTTATTTCCTGCTTTTTTAACTGTAGGAACAATTTATTTAGGTTACTTCCATTGCATCCCCAAAGCCCTGTTCATCTTTTATGTTTGATCTCTACTGGAGAGCAGTTTCTGGCCCAGTCAATTAGGCCTAGCCATGTCTACTACAGGAGGGGCCAAGTGGAGGCAAATGACTGCTGTGATCAGAGGTGGTATTCAGCAGGTTCTGACCAGTTCTGAAGAACCGGTAGCGGAAGTTTTGAGTAGTTCAGACAATTGGCAAATACAACCTCTGACTGGAGATTTTACAGTATCCTTCCCCTGCCACACCCACCAAGTCACGTGCACAGAACCGGTAGTTAAAAAAAAATTGAATCCCACCACTGTCTGTGATGCAAGTTCCATTCCTTTCTATGTGAGTTGTGATATCACATACAATACGAAATAGGCTGAGCTTATAGCACAATGCTGTTTTTGACTTTTGATCAAAGCATTATATACTGCGGATGCCTTTGCCTATCTTCCAAGATGCTGTAACTAGGGAGAGGTATGTGTGTTAGCAATCTGCCATCACTCTTAGACTTTCAATGTTCTTTTTCCCTTGACTTCCCATAGTTTTGTTTTATGAAAGCAAAACAGAAATGAAAGGAATATTTTAAGCCTTAATACTGTTTTGTCTATAGGAGTATATGATTTTTTTCAAACCATTTTCTTTCTCTCCATTTCTTTAAGAAAAGAATGTATTTCTTTTATGTAATATGGCAACCACCTAACTCTATGGTAATCTAGTGGAAATTTTATGGATAAGAGAGACAATTTTCATATTATATAGGAAAAAAGGGGAAAACAAAAAGGAAAGCTAGCTGAAAATGGAAAGTTGCTTCTTATAATACAGTACAATTCTAAAATGTCTATATCTAACCTGAAATACAAGTAAACTGTGTAAGTTATGCAGGGAACAGACGTATATTATTTGCACATATTCTTACACAATAAGTTTAGCTTTATGTCCAGTAAAGTCACTTTGCCTGTTCATGTCTTATAAAGTTAATGCAATAAGTAACTTATGCATTTATAAATGTGTGTTATGTGCATGTTAAATTGTGTGTGCATTTATTAATGATTAAGAAGAATAATGCACATTCTGGCAGAGAGAAGTTCTCTGAAGATGGGCTCCAACACGAGCCCGAAAGTTCGGAAGACTAAATCTTTGCTCCTGGTGACTGACCCAACTTGGATCCTGCAGCATTCAGAACAATATATCTATGAATTAATTCCTCTTTCTCCTCCTTCTCCAAAGCAAGGCAGATGATTTCCTCAAGCAGATCTCTTAAAATGAAATTTCTTTCATTCTAGTCACCTGCCCATAGTTATTCAAGCTATGATTCTGGAAAAAATGAAAACATGGACAGAGGTGCTGAAGACCTCTCCCTGAACCGGGGAGAAGAAGATGATGACGACCATGATGATCACGAAGATACTGAGAAAGTCAATGAATCCGATGGGGTTGAAGCTGAGCGCCTGAAAGCTTTTAATGTGAGTTATATGATTCTTTTTATGTTCTTTGGAATTTCATTTAATTATTTATCTATGATTTGGGACATATGTTTATGGGTTAATGTGAGAATTAAAGAGGTGTATTTTTAAAAAAATATATGCAAGGGAATTTCCTCCCCCCCCCCTTTTAATGATGATACATAAAGGCTGCAATCCTATACTCACTTGCCTGGGAGTAAGCCCCACTGAACTGAATGGAACTTACTTCTGAATAGACATGTATAGGATTGTACTTAGATAGGAATTTCAAAGAAATACCCAGTTCATCCAATTTAGTTACTTAATCATCATCTATAGGAGAAATTTCAGTTGTGTATTGTGCACATGTATGTGTGTGTGTGTGTGTGTGTGTGTGTGTGTATGTCCAGCAAATGAAGGCAGAAGGGAGGGAGCTTATAGGTTGTTGATCCTACTGGCCAGCTATTTTCTATTATTTTTCAAATTTTATATAATTTTGCATGACAATACACACACCATAAAATGTTCACAACAGGGGAAGAGTAAGAGATAAGGGTTCTACAGACCAATAAAGCAATTCTAGCACATTGTTAATAAGAAACATGAAATGGTGCTTATTTTTACAATCTATGTTTTATTTTCCTCATGATTTCTATACATTATAACCTAATCTTTTCTTGTCTTTTGTCAGTCCTAAAATAAAATCCTTGGTTGCTTAACATTTCTGGCTTTCCATCACAAAGCTCTTCACTGTTTTTTTTTAAATTAAATAAAAAAAGCAGTCTTCCTATCTGTAACTGAGACAGGAAGCTTAGAAACCAAGTACCCCTCCAAATCCTTCTCCTCTGTCTCCCTCTTACCAACAGATGTTTGTCAGGCTGTTTGTAGATGAAAACTTGGACCGAATGGTCCCAATCTCTAAGCAGCCCAAAGAAAAGATCCAGGCTATCATTGACTCATGCAGGCGACAATTCCCTGAATATCAAGAGCGTGCCAGAAAGCGTATACGTACTTACCTCAAGTCCTGCAGGCGGATGAAAAGGAGTGGTTTTGAGATGGTGAGTTTTGATTTAAAACCCAGCCCTAGTTTTCATCAAAACCCCCATATGTAAATCCATGACACTATTTTGTTTCCATCTTAGTGTCTCTTTTTATTTGTATTTTTGGTACTGTCAGGTCAGAGGTTATTTCCTCCTTTCATCCCCCTTCCTTTGTACAATGCACTTGAAATGCTTTGCCAAATAAAGCACACATTTATGTCTAATATAAATTTATCAAAATGGAGGAGCACCACAAGATATAAAGGAAGAAACACATAGAAACACATTTCCTCCATCTTTTTATTATTCTAACATTTATATGACAGAATGCATAGGTAATTTGTTTCTTAAATTTAATTGCATGTTTGCAATTTAGTGTATATATATATATATGCCTATGCTTAATCACTGATTATCCTTTAAGGTTGTCCTGCTTCAAAAATCATTTGGAAGAAGTGTTTGAACCTTGTGTGAGCACAATAATTCTCATTAAGGTGCACACAATTTTTTCAGGGTTCTATGTAGCCTGAAGAAAGATGCTACTGGTTTCATAAATTAAAACAAAGTTTTTAGTGTGACTGAAGTATATGCAGTAACAAGTAGTACAGAGCTACTGTGCTTGTGCAAGATGTAAATCATGTAGAAGCAAGCACAGCCCTTTAATGTGTTGTGATTTTTAACATTTAGATAAAACATATTTTAAAGTATATTTACAAATTTATTTATGAGTTTAAATAAAATAGAGAGCCTTTTTCAATCCATCAGATTTCTTAGAGAAAGAGATATATAAAATATAAAAGAATGTTGGATATTGGCTGTAAATGAACCATGCTTTTATTTAAATGTCTCACTGAAATCAAATACCAAAACACATCTTATATGACATAGAAGGAAATAGAAAAGCCCTGATGCAAATTATTATTGTTGTTAGCATTTCTATAAAAACACCAAAAATTCAAACTCCAAACTCTTTCCTTCCCTCCTTTATTTCAAATAACATTTTTATTTCAAATGCAATTTTAAGAAATACATGAACCAACCTACATTCCTTCCTTCCTTCCTTCCTTCCTTCCTTCCTTCCTTCCTTCCTTCCTTCTCCATGTTTCAGAACTTCAAATGATTATGTTGAAAATAAAGGAACACATCTGCTAAAAATACTAGCTTAGGAAAAAGAAATAAAAGAAAATATAACCAATTGCATTTGTATCATTATGCACATTTGTTCAGCTTTTCACAAAAGCAATGGCTAGTTATAAACAAGGGAAACAAGATATTAAAAGTGATGAAAAAGAATATGTTCAGTTCACATGCCAAAATGTGAAAAGTATATATGTTAAGATATATAGTAATTTGAAATAATGGCAAGTGCATTTAGTAAATATAGTATTGTACTTTCACATTTATTTTGTTTGACTAAGTTATTTAATAGAATAAAAATATTTGTGCAGTTGTCTGATTTTGGTAACTTTCCTGTCTTCCTTGGACAAATTTTATGTAACTTGTTTCATGTTCTACAAATACGTGGTCTCAAAAGTGTTGCATAGTCATTATTGTAAGCCATACTGACTGTTATACATTCTAAGAGGATGCAGACATTCTTACATGAGAATAAGTAGGTAGATGAAGTTATGCTCCAGCATTACCAAGAGTTAGGTAGCCTGTACAATTAAAGTATCAGGCTTTAAAGATTAGAAAGTATTAGCAAGAAATTCTTCAGATCTATTGTTTACAAGGAAATATAAACTTCCTTCTGTCATCAATGGGGAAAATAATATGCAAATGGTCTTACTACACCTAAGTGAAGGAACCAATGGATTTTTTTCCCTGTAGATTCTCTACATCCCTTCTTCCATATCAGCATAGCCTGGAACTAGGTATATCTAGCTTCCTTTACAGAAGATAGTATAGAGAATAAATGATTAATAGTGACTAAAGGAACTTAACTACTGTAGATGGATGCCTGTCTTTTAAAAGTTTTGTTTTGAAAACATGACTATAGCAATGTGGATGGAAATTTGTCATCAGCTTAAGTTCTTTCCTATCAATATTTTTATTACACATTTTAAGCATACAATTCCATTGTTAACCATGAATTTAAACAAAACCCACCCTGCTGCTACCAGATCACACAAACACAGGAGTTTATAGGGTTCTATGGATAAATGTTGTTAACTGGTGCTGATGTGGTGCAGTGGTTAAGGAACTGAAGTAGAAGCAGGAAGACTGTGATTCAAATACACCCTTAGCCACAGAAACTCACTGGATGACTTTAAGCCTTTCTTTCACTCTCAGGCCTACTTATCTCATGGGGATTATGGAGAAAAAGTGAAGAATTGAGCAGTATGTATATTGCCTAGAGCTCCTGGAAGAAAGAAAGGATGTAAAGAAATGAATTTTATCTACTCTTCTTTTCCAATTACTATAAATGTACTTGTTAACTTAGTCAACTTAATATAATGAGGAGAATTTGTTTATCTGAAGCGGCGTCCTCATATTTGTAAATTACTGAGAATTTTAGTTTCTGAAGCATAGACTAAAGAGAGCAACCAAAATTATTTTTAAAGTTATGTTCAAATCAACAGACATTAAAATGATTTAGGCATCCATAATCATAGCTTATTAATAAATTTTCTTTATGTTTCATTGATTTTCTCACTAAATGATATAGTTAGAAAACAGCCAATTTGGGTTTGCTGTTCACTTATGTGATATTCAGGTTTTTTTTTAAATTGAAGTTTAAATTTAACTTATTGTCTGTTTTTCCAATTGAAATTGAAGTTTAATGTATTGTCTGCAGTGTACTTCATTGCAGATAATACAGTAAATTTAAATAAACCACAGGTGGGTGGTTTCTAGCCTTAACACTCAGAATAAAGATTTAAAGATAGCCAAGGGTGTTTTTTTATAAGCCAAAATTATGGCTTTGTTACTAGCCATTTGATAACTTGCCCAGTTAGATAATTAAATATAGTTAAATAGTCTCTGTTTAAATTCTGTTATAATTGGAACCCAGTATGGGTTTGTTAAAAACAGATCATGCCAAAACAATCTTACTTCATTCTTTGACAAAGTGACTATAATTAGTAGACCATCAAAATGCTATGGACATAGTATATTTAGATTTCAGTAAGGCATTCAACAAAGTAGACCACAACCTTCTTCTAGGTAAGCTAGAAAAATGTGGGATAGATAGCATTACAACCAGATGTATTTGTAACTGGCTGACAAACCGTATTCAATGAGTCGTCCTTAATGGTACTATATCTACATGGAGGGAAGTAAACACAAGCTTTAGCCTTCGGCCCAGTACTCTTCGATATCTTCATAAATGATTTAGATAAGGGAACAGAAGGGGAACTCATCAAGTTTGCAGATGACAATTAGCTAGCAGAAATAGCCAAGACCCCAGAAGACAAGTTCAGGATCCAAAAAGATCTTGACAGACTTGAACAACAGGCTCAATCCAATAAAATGAAATTTAATGTGGGGAAAAGTAAGGTTTTATACTTAGGCATGAAAAACTAAAGGTACAAGTACAGATTAGGCAAACCTGACTCAAAAACAGTAACTGTGAGAGGGACCTGGGAGTGCTAGTGGACAATCACTCACATATGAGCCAGCAGTGTGTGGCAGCAGGCAGTAGCCAAAAAAGCTAATACAATCCTTGGATGTATAAACAGAGGCATAGAATCAAAATAATGTGAAGTATTATTAGCAATAGCAATAGCACTTAGACTTATATACTGCTTTAAAGTGCTTTAAGCAGTTTATAGAATCAGCATATTGTCCCCAACAATTTGGGTCCTTATTTTACTGACCTCAGAAGAATGGAAGGCTGAGTCAACCTTGAGCCTGGTGAGATTCAAACTGCCGAATTGCAGACAGCTGGCAGTCAGCAGAAGTAGCCTGCAGTACTGCATTCTAACAACTGCACCACCGTGGCTCATTACCACTTTATAAAACTTTAGTTAAGACCACAGCTGGAATACTGTGTCCAGTTTTGGTTACCACATTACCAAAAATGTTGAAACTTTGAAAAGAAAGGTGCAGAGAAGAGAAAATATGATGATTAAAGGCCTGGAGACTAAAACAAATGAAGAACAATTGCAGGAACTAGGTATGGCTAGTCTAGAGAAAAGAAAGACTGGGGTGACATGATAACAGTATTCCAGTGTTTGAAAGGCTGCCACAAAGAAGAGGGGCAGAAAGCAGGACAAGAAACAATAGATGGAAACTAATCGAGGAGAGAAGCAACCTGGAATTAAGGAGAAATTTCCTAACAATTAACGATTAACCAGCAGAACAATTTGCCTTCAGAAGTTGAAGGTGCTTCATGACTGGAGATTTTTAAAAAGAGACTGGACAGTCACTTGTCTGAAATAGGGCCTCCTGCTTGAGCAGGGAGTTGGACAAAGACCTCCGAGATCCCTTCCAGCTTTATTCTGATTTATTAATTGATTGATTGATTAAATAAATGGTACTTCAAAGTATCCCAAATAATACTTATTACCCTTCCAAATGGGATATCTTTACAGGAATCCCTTAAAAAAGAGATGTATATCCTGAGGTTCCAAGGGTATTTGCCATCTTTCAACTCTTAGGTATGGCTTCTAGAGGCCTTCAAGAAATCTTAACAAAATTTAACATTCCATGGCAAGTCCTTGGAATGGTTAGTGATTGCAAACAAAATGGAAATTAATGCTCAGGTGACTATCAGAAAATTAAATGCAGTGTAAAACTACATCAACAAATAGTTTCAACTTATGAAAAGTAGTGATTCCAGTTTGCATTGCATTTATCACAACCCACTTTACTGTTTATAGTACTGGGCAACATTCAGACAAAATGAAACAAGTACAGGAATGGCAATGAGATGCTCATAGGAATAGAAACTAAGTCCTGTGAAGATTGATAGGCATGTTGAACTGTGGTGAATGTGGTTTGGACACGCTTTCAGTATATTCTGAGGCATGTTTTTAGGAAAGATAGCATTTTAATAAACTATTTTTTGTCATACA